TGCCTCGCTTGGTGGGAGAAAAGTTTGGTCTGAAAGACGATTAGGACTGCTTTAGTGTCACCACAGAGCCATGAAGGTTACTACTTGATTTGGATTATGTTTTCACTTTGAATAAACAGCTCTCTTGTCAGAGGACAGCGACACTTCTGTGTTTGAGGAGTTTAAAAGGCATCATCTTCACCTTGACAAAGAAACTCCACTAAAGCAGAGCTTTTAAGAAGTGCTCCAGAAGTTCTTGGTGTGAAAGCTGCTTGATTCCTGCAGCTAGTTCAAGTCCACTCAGAAAAAAGAATTGCCTTATCTCTGTACCTAAATGTTGTAGAGTCGTAGCTCTATCCTCTTTTCCTACACAAAGCCCAACCCTGTCTTGGCGCTGGCATTACATAAGCCTCCCATAAAGCCAAGGAAAACCCCAGCAAAATGAAAGCAGGGTGACGTCTTCTTCCAGTAAGCCAAGAGGATATAAGAAGTGAATATCATGTTGGGCAGGGCAACATGATGGAGACATCTTAACAGTATTTATTAAGAAACCATTCATCTCCTCTCATTAAGCCTTTGATCCAAGCTGTGACAGGAGCCCAACCAGTCTTGGCGATGGGAACCAACGTTGCTGAGAAATTAGGAGATTTCCTGGAAATTCACCAGAATAACGTGTGTGTGTGTGTGCGGGTGGGTGTGTGTCTGCTGGCACACCTTGAATCCCGAGATGTGTTTTAGCTTGTCTCGTCTGACAGAACTGAGACCAGTTGAAGTGTTGTTCTGCCAAACTGCTCGTCATGGCAGGAGTACAGAGAGTTGGAGCGCACGGGGTGAGGCAGCAGCCACCTACTACCATCTGAACATTTACTGTCAACACATCACACGTTGTAACGAAATCGGGAAATTCAACAGGAACTTTCACTTTCTCACATTTTATATAAAAAGTTTTAACCAGGGATTCAAGCACTGTCTAACTTTTATAGACGTTTTTTTTTTTTTGGCCTGATGTGCCCAAGACAGATTTTCCAGACGGAAAACAAAGATGGCCGTAGCATCTGTGATGTCACACACGTGTCACTGATGGTGGAAGCACCTTTGTGCTTTGTTTGTGTGAAATTTTGGTGAAGTGATGCAGTAGAATCTGTGTGTTACATTAATCAAGCAAGTTGAGCGTGATGTCATTATGTCTGTCACTGTAAGATTTATGTATTGTAATGAACCCTCAGAGCACTTTAATTAAAATTTGCAAAAGCCTAATGGGATGTTGACATAAGAGCGTCTCCACTTATAATAGAAAAGTGATGTGTAGTCACCTGCGGTGGTAGAAGTACTCGGATCTTGGTGAAGAGGCAACACAATGATGAAGAGCAGGATTTCAGCTCTATGCAGACTATAGCTGTAGCCTACACAAGTGGCCTACACCATTGTGAACATCTATACTTGCATGGTGGTGTGTCTTTGTCACTCTGTAGTTAAGGTTAGTGATGCAAAACCCACCCAAAACACACATTAAATATGGCTTAATAGCGACAATATCAATTACAAGTACACAAATCAGCTTCATTACAACTCGCAGCATTCACAGACAAAGCATTTGTCTTTATCTGGACACATTTTCCCCACAAATACAACATGCTAATGTTATTAGCACAAGCCTATGGCATTTTACATTGTATAAATTGGCCTAGTGACTAGCGGACTTTTCAGTGACAACAGCAACATTTAAAAAAAGGTAACGTTACAAAATTTGGCTCCATTACAGCTCACAAGGTTCACTGACAAAACAACTGTCTTATACTAAACATGTTTTCCAAACAAATATAACATGCCAATGTGAAGCCTGTGGCATTTTACACTGTATACATTAGCCTAGCGATGAGCCGAGATTTTCCTCAGGAGACTTCTCAGGATAAATTACACACAAGACTAAAAATGCTATTTTGTGGAGGCTTTATTGTCTTCGCAATTTATTGTTTCTTATCTGTGATATTAAAGTAAATAAAAGCTTCATTTCCACTGAGGGAAATGGTTTCAGCTTACAAACATAGACAGGAGGTCTGCGTCACCGCAACGTGTAGTTACATTTCTGGGGAAGTGCATGTCAGGCTACGGCGTATGGTATGGCACGTCAATTCGACGCAAAAGTATAAATCCTGCTTTACTCTTTTACAAGTAAAAGTATAATATACTTACAGTTTATTTTAATACTTATATCAAGGGTAGTCATTATGCAGAATGGCCCATTTTGGAGTACTGTATACTATATTATTGAGACATATTTATGAATGCATTAATGTGTTCATCGCATTAATGTTGCAGCTGGTAAAGATGGAACTAATTTGAATTAGTTTAGGTACTATAGTATAGTAGTTTGTGAACTGCCCCCTTGGCATCAAAAAAAGTCTCACCTATAATAATATATCGTAATTTACTTGGTAATCGTATTTTGTCTTATTGATCTGAATCTGCAAAGCAACTAATGTTGAGAAATAAATATGGTGTGGAGTAGTAAGTACAATACTCTACATAGAAGAATGCACAAAACAGTTCCACACAGACACTCAAAATACACCACTGATGTCAGATCAGCAGTTTCAAGCAACCAAATAAAAAAAAAAATCTGAGCAAGGATATCCATTCTTATATTAATATGGTATCCATTTTGTGATATGAGACTAGATATCATCTTATCTAATGTTGTTACTGCTGTCTTTTCCTGGTCTTAAAGGCTGTGTTACAGGAGAGTGATGTAATTTTCTGAACTGCCATTGATGATTATGTATCAAAAATCTCACTGTGTAAATATTATATGAAAGCCCCAATAGTCATCCCTACAATATTGTCCCGATATCAATATAAAGGAATTTGGTCAAAAAACTATTATTGTATTTGATTTTCTCCGTGTCCCCGAGTCCGACAAACACATACACAGGGGGACAAATTAATCAAGGCTCAAAGGCTCAATTGGTCTTCACAAAGATAGATTTACAGGAGCACAAACACACACACACACACACACACACACACACACAAGACAACAAATGCATGAAAGAACCATTCATTTTCGTTTTCTGCATTTCCCGTCTCCCGCTCTCTCTCAGCCACACACACACACACACGCAAACACACACACACACACACACAGGCAAGCAGGATCCTGTTGTTTTCTCCAGCGGAGCAGAACCTGCTGCTGTTATGAGATACAGTGAAACTCCCACATCCGTATTTCAGCTCTGTGACAAAACCCCACAAACCAAAACAGAGCTGCCTCCTACTCACATGTTCAAACACTACATGACATGCTCCTGATTTACAGGAGAGTCCAGTTTCAGAGAGAAGAAGTGAGGACGTTTGCCAAAATACAACATTCATATATAGTCTTCAGGGACACTGAGAATATTTTTTGATGAAAAGAGCCAGGATTAAAGACGACTAGAAACCTGAGATTTTTATTTTTTAGTGTGTGAATTACGTGTATGGTGTTTATTTATGATATCAGTCAATTCTCTGATTGATTTCCTGCATCAGAATCAATATTTTCAAGAGTCGTAAGTTAATTCTTATGACCTGAAACATGCATGCTGGCCTTTAGAGAGTATTTAGTGAATAGGATCATTGTTTGTAGTTTTGAAAGTAGTCATAGGATTACTAACTTTTAAATTACAGAGTTTAAGAGTGTTTCCAACTGTGAGGTCACAGTGACCTTCACCTTCGACCATTGAAGTCTAAGCAGTTCATTCTTGAGTCAAAGTGTACGTTTGTGCCAAATTTGAGGCTATTCTCTTCAAGGCCTTCACGAGATACTGCGTTCATGAGAATGAGATGGACACAAGGTCATAATAAACTTAACCCTTTGACAACCAAAATCTAATCAGCTCATTCTCGATTCCGTGTGGACGCTCGTGCCAAATTTGAAAAAATTTCCTCGAGGTGTTCTTGGGATACTGTGCTCACGAGTACGACATGGATGCAGGGTCACATGAAACTGTGACCACTAGAATCGAACCAGTTCAACCTTGATTCCATGTAGATGTTACTCGACCTTCAACCACTGAATTCTAAACAGTTCATTCTAGAGTTCCAGTGGATGTTTGTGCCAAATTTGAGGCTATTTCCTTCAAGGCCTTCTTGAGATATTCCATTCATGGTAATGAGACGGACATAAGGTCACTGTTAACTTAACCTTTGATCACCATAATCAAATCAGTTCATTCTTGATTTGAAGGGGACATTTGTGCCAAATTTGAGGCTATTTCCTTCAAGGCCTTCTTGGGATATTGTGTTCATGAGAATGAGATGGACAATTGGTCACAGTAAACTTCACCATTGACCACCACAATCGAATCAGTTCATCCTCAATTCCTTGTGGACGTTTATGCCAAATTTGAAAAAGTCCTCAAGGTGTTCTTGAGATATTGCGTTCATGCGTATGAGATGGATGCAAGGTCACAAGACCTTGACCTTTAAAAACCCAAATCCAATCAGTTCGTCTTTGATTTGAAGGGGACATGTGTGCCAAATTTGAGGCTATTTTTTTCAAGGCCCTGATGAGATACTGCGTCCATGAGAATGAGACAGAATCTAGGTCACAGTAAACTTAACTTTTGACATCTAACTTGACATCTAAACATCTAATCAGTTCATCCTCAATTCCATGTGGATGTTCGTGCCAAATCTGAAGCAATTTTCTCAGGGTGTTCTTGAGATATCGTGGTCAATGCCTTAACTAACTAACTAAAATGGCAGAAGCCATTGTCAGGAAAAATGTATCTGACGTGTACTTTGATGTTTTAGTTTGGCCCATGTCCAATCCACTAGCATGGACTGTGCCTTTATTACCTATACTGCGGCTAACCACCAGGGGACGATGGCAATGTTTTAGCTTCACTTTTGGGGAGCTGTCATGCCATCCATCATTATATACAGTCTTCGGATCAGACTAAAAAATGAAGGCTCAGTGTTCCCTCTTACACACTACAGAGGCTTCCTTGTAGCGAGCACATAACATGTCGTTGACTCACTGTGTGTGTATGTTGCAAAGCTCCTGCTCTGTCTGTCTCTGCAGCTGCTTGAGGTGAAAGGTCAGCTCCTCGCTCAAAATGGCAAACCTCCACAGTCCTCCTCTACCTGTGCTCTCCTCACACACCAAACCCTGATCACAAGAGAAGACAGAGGACTTATAGAAGCTTTGTAACACACCTTCTGGCGGCCATGTTGGAGGTGCACAAAGTAATGGAAGGCAAACATTCCATCACTGATTATCATGCTAATATACAGTGAATTAGCATATTAGCATGATAGCTTCCTTTCAGTTACCAGGGTAAAAGGGAACATGCTGGATGTCAGAGAAAAAAAAAACAATGACACATACTCTGTAAGTCATATAATATTTAGTCGGGACAGCATTTGATATGAGAATGTGCCCATGTAACACTTCAGCTCTCAGTAGTCTGCTGTCTCCATTTGTCAGACATAGCAACATGTTGAGTAAGACAGAAAAGAGCGATGAATCACCAGCTGAAGGAGGAGAGACTGATGGTAGGCAGACAGGTCCATCAGCAGACAGACAGACAGACAAGAGGGGGTGAAAAGAGACACCGGAGGATATGACGAGTGAAGATAAAGTTGGAGAAGGTGACGTTTAATTGGGTTGCCAGTCTGAACTCGTTGAGGTTATGGGGTCCTCTGCGAGCGGCTGTGGGCTTAAAGACAACAGCCTGACTGAGTCACTCTGGCAGAACACGACGATCGCCCTCATCCTCCCCTTCGTCTGTCTGTCTGTGTCCATGTGACTCAGTCTGAGAGACACACTGGCACTATGTTCACATAGAAGCCAAATCTGATACACCAAAGCTCACCAGTGGGGGAAAAATGTGTTTTGAAGGTGCAACTTTGGACCAGTTAAGTGCAAACTACAGGTACGACTCCAGTGGGAAAACCAATGAGCTGTTGGAGTTGAAGATGAATGTCTGTCCACTCACATTTAACCACTTTACTTTCTATCAGACTGTTTCCATGCCAGTTTACCTTCTGCCTTAGGTTGTGAACTCCACTTCATCCTTTTTTTGTCTGAAATGACCACATTTGCAGTGAATTCAGAGATACAGTATTTGTGTCAATTTCTCTGCCATTCTGCAATGATTTGGTGGTAATGACAGCCCGACAATAGAGGAGTTTGGAGGCTGATAATGATATATTGACACACCATCCAAGGATGTCTTAATTTTTTCTATTCTATTCTTATTTTATTTTTTGGACAATTGCGTGAAGGAAACACACTGGGCAGGACATTTTACGGTATAAAAATAAACTTGCTACGTGGAGAAACTGGAATTGTGCAGCCAGGTCGCCAAAAGAAAATGCTGGCATTGTATTTTTCTGTAAACAACAATTACATTACATTTTTACATTTCAAATGTATCATTGAGAAGTCGGAGGCTGTGGCTCTGCTAATCAGAGGATTGTGGTTCTATCTCTGGCTCCTCCAGCCCACATATTGAAGTAGCCTTGGGCAAGATACTGAACCCCAAAACTATCTTGCCCAAATTCATCTGAATGACTTTAACTGAGTAGCAGGTGCCTTGGCCACCAGTGTATGAATGTGTGTGTGAATGGGTCAATGTGACAACTTGGAAGACAAGGAAGGTGCTATTCGAGTCCATTTACCATCATATCCACCTTGCTAAAGTGACAGGAGGTAGAATGGATGGTGGATGGTGTCACCTAAGAGAGATGCTTGCTTATCTGCAGACAACAGTTAAGAGACCAAAAAACAACAAAACTGGTTACTTTTGCGTGAGACATCGCTGCATTTCCAGTTGGGATTGTGCCACCAAAACCAGTTATTTAAAGCCAAACTATTTTCCTAAACATAAATGAGTAGTATTTGAGCCTGAACCCCTATTATATCAGCACGGCCAATTTAGGCTTGGTTTGAAAAATTTCTGTTAATTGGATAATTTTCCTGCAAAAGAAGTGCAGAATTGGAAGTTTAAGCATGTTTTCCTCCAGTTTAAGCATTTAGAGCAGAAAAACTGCAGTGGAGATAAAAAAAAAATTGGGTGTTAACTATTCAATTAATCGCAAACTAATTTGATAATCAATCAGTTTGAGTATTTGAGTATTCCAATTTCTCTGATTCATGCTCCTTAAATGTGAATACTTCCTGGTTTCTTTACTGTATGACAGAAAACTGAATATCTTTGGGCAAAACAAGACATTTGAGGACGTCATCTTGGGCCTTGGGAAACACTGATTGATATTTTCACCATTTCACAGATCAATTAATCAATTAATCCAGAAAAATGAAAATAATCATTAGCTGCAGCTCGTCTGTATTAAAACCCACGGACTGAAACTTCAGAAATGTTTAATCTGATTCTTTTTAATAACTGTACCTGATTTTTTGTAATAAAGACTTCTGAAAAATGACATTTATTTAATAGCGTGTAGGAGAACACTGGATTTGAGCTGTCTTTCTGAATATAGCCTCAGGAGAGATCAACAACAAGGGAAAGGAAAGGGACAAAGACAGGCAGACAGTGAATAAGAAGAGAAGAGCACAGATTCCCACGGAGAAGCCAAGTGAAACACATAAAGAGTGCCGATAAAAACAAATCCCTGTACAATACGTTAGGAAGAATGCAGTTAAGGCAGTGTTGAGCAATTAGCCCCGTACCCTCTAGCAAAGATTCATGTTTTAAAAACATCAGGTGAAAAAAAAATTACAGAGTTTCAACGTCAGCAAAGACAGAATGACACTTAGTGGCTCTGCTACAGTGGTGATAATCATCTAACTGTTTTTACTGCGGGCGTCATGTTTCAGATTCCAGTAAAGCTGCTCAGAAACAGACTCTGTTCACCTTCAGGTACATTTGTAGAAATCTAAGTCATTAGAGAGGAAAGTGTTTCCTTAAAATTTGTCCATCTGGAAAATGTTACCTTTGGGTCATGATCCAATTCACGGTTAAATACTGTTCTATCTGCAGTGATGCTCCACATACAGTTCACGCTCTCCAGTCACACCCCACATTTCTCTGCTCATAATTTGTAACACTGTAAATTACACTTGGCAAGGTTATTATAATTAACAAAAACTTAACTTAAAACTAAAAATAGACCCCAATCAAGGATTTTTTGATAAAAGTGCAAACAGGAAATGGGGGCAAGAAAGTCATTTTATAAGATATTTTCAAGCATGACTCTTAATAATACAGATAAAAAGAAGATGGAAAACTGAAATGGATACAGACATACCACAGAACAAGTGGCAGGAAGTGTGTACCGGTGCACACTTAGTAACCAGTTCAAATACTTGGAGGGAATTCAGACACCAGAAACAGTGGCTAAAATGGGCTCAACATACTCAAATAAATGTTGGAGAAACTGTGGCACACAAATTGGCAACCATACCTGCATATTTTAGACATGCACAGAGTTAAGTACATTTTGGGCAGAGATTTTTGAGGCACTCAAGGAAATATATTACCAAAATCTCACAAAAGACTAGAGGGTATCAACATTGGGTCTAACACCAGAGGACATTGATAGGAGAGCAAAAAAATACCTTTTACAAGTATTGACAACAGCAGATTTAAAATTAGAGTTACATTAAAAAAAGACAACTTTTTTGAACTCAGAAAACAGTTTTGAACTTTGACAATTTTGGTCAAAAATGTCAACACAAGCATGTGGAGGCATCGGTGCAGATGTTTATTTATATGTATTGTAATACGTACTCTGAACTTCTTAAATCTTAAAAAACTAAAACCAAAAGTGAAACTAACAAATACGAAACTAAAACTATTAACCTAAGAAAAAAAGTAAAAACTAAACTGAAATGAGCTAATCCCATCTGAAAACTAACTGAAATTAAAATTAAATGGAAATAAAAAATAATCATACAAAACTATAATAACTCTAATGTAGATGCACCTTTCTGTGCAGTTTTTTTTTGCTTACAAATCATAGGATGTTTTTGCTACACTGCATTTTCATTCATGCCAAGCACAGTTATTTGTTATTTGCAAATCCCTTTGCACCAGCTCTACCTTATCAATCCTATTGCAGATACGCACTGAGCATTTTCTTCTTCTTTAAAAAGTTACAAAGTGATGCTTTGGCACTGTGAGATCATGTTTTCAAACTGTTTTCACATCTTTTTTATATTTAAATATCCTGAAATTGTTTCATGTTAATCACATGTAGCAGTTAATCAACATAATATTAACATTTTTATAATAATTTCCATAATATTTGTATAATCATACACAGAATTAACATGATGGAACTTTTTTGGATTTTTCTTGTACAAAAGGTGATCAGGAAATACACATTAACTTTACATAAACATAAATGTTTAAAAACACTTCAGTTTGTAATGGCATTTCATTTACCTGTTGCTCCTCAGCGAAGGGGGATTGTAGGACGTGAACTTTGTCTTCTATCAGCTGCCGTAGTTTGTCTAGCGAAGCAGAAAAGTCCTCTCTGTTTCTCTGGGACTCTGGAGACTTTAAAGAGGAGAGACAAACAGAATGTTTTATACACTTTCATCACAGTAACCCTCATACAGTACATCTGCCTCATGTTTCACAACCAGTAGATCTGGCAGCAACCAAACGCCACTGGGGAGTCTGATCCTATTGGCTGCTGATCGTGGTGCACACATCTTTAAAAAAAATACACTCAGTCACATGAAGTCTAAACGCGCACTTTGGTTGCAGAATGTTTGTCTGAAGGACATTCTGCAGATTGTTTTGCCTGAGTGTCTAGATGCCACCATCAATCAGAACTGAGGCAACACCCAACTGGTAAAACACCCTCCTCTGATTCACGAAGAAAGTTTTTCATTTGTGTGGAATGGAGAGGAACAGGAAGGATCGCCCTTCAGATTGAATTATGCTCCGCTGAGCAGCTTACTGCAGCACAGAGACGATATCCTTATTACCAGCACACATCTGAGATACAGTATAAAACAGTCGAAAAGCTTGTCAGCTGGATCAGTCAGATTCTGACAGAGAAAGAAATCTATTTGAAGATTTGAAGCACTAAAATACATATCCCATGATGCTTCAGGTCATTTGAGATGTAATGATTAAAGGGACAGTCATCCCAAAATCAAAAATACATATTCCTCCTTTAACCTGTCATACTATTATATATATCTAGAAAGATACCAAAATCAATCACAGTCACACCTGGTTTGAAATAAACTATTGTCCCCTTTAGCTAGACTGCAGTCTGTCAGCTGATCTCTAGAGTGATTATGTCCTGGAGACTTCCATGTCTACCTGTCAGTGGGCCAGGCGAGTGACAGGAAGCAGGGGGTCAAGTACAAACATTACGCTTTGCTCGTGTTTACTATGATGGATTACTTTACTCTGCAAAGGTCATGGTCAAAATCTGAATTAGAATAAGAAGCAGAAAATGAAGTAGAACCACAAAGTGTGTTATCAAGTGTGATATAAAAAAGGGAAACTAGGAAACCAATCTTCCCTTCTTATTAAAGAAGAAAGTATTTTCAACCTGGACCCTATTTTCCCATGTTTTTATGCCTAAGTGACTGATGAGAACAACAATTTTTGACATTGCTCCAGCGTTGAGCAAGAGGGCTGCATCTGGCAGCAGTGAAATACGCTGCAATGTGACCACTTGGAGCATTTGAGCATTGTCAATTCACTTCAACTAAAAGGGTTTGTTTTTGCCACTGACAGGCTCAGATTACTATTCTGTGTCTGATAACATTATGGAAAGTCGATACATCATAATATCGTGATATTTTTGTGTGCCGAGTATCGTTTTTTTTTATTATATATATATTTTTTTATTAATGATACAAATACAAATCAAACTTTAGGTAGCCCACTAGAATAATAAAATCAATTGCTTTTCAGTCCACGAGATACATTTTACTGCAAATAAAATGATTGAAGTGAGATGAAAAGACTGAAAACTTTGTCTTATTGGATGTTCCTTTGGGGACATATATATTTTTTTTTTTTAACTAATTAAAAATAATAATTTACAGTTGAAAAAAGTTAATAAATCACAACATATTTTATCACGACATATTTAAAATTGCAATAATATTGTATTGTGACTTAAGTATCATGATAATATTGTGTTGTTGAGTCCTACTACAGAGACAGACTTTTTTTGTTAAAGAGTAAGTTCCTTTTCGTTTAACCAGAAACAGCTCCGAAACTGCCACTGTCAAACCCACCAGATTTAATTGAAACAGTAAATTTAGCCTGTGTAGAGCCATCATATTTTCACATCTAAATGGGGGAATTAAGGATTTATTTCAACCCAACCAAGTTTGGTGATTTTTGGAACGATAGAAAGACGAACCAAGACGGCCACTTTTGTGAGATTTATTATATTTCTTGTGACTTTGAATGCATTAATTAATCAACAACTTTCTTTCAAAACAAAATAGTAAAAGATGAAAATAAAAAAAACAGACAAGACAAAGAAAATAGTGTCCGAAAAGAAGTAGGAAGAAGTAAAAGTTATATGTCCATACCCCTTTCTTACATTTCTTCTTTTAACTCATATATTACCACCAAATTAAATAAATAAATAATAAACCCAGTTTATTTACAGTCCAAGTACCATCTAGTGTTACAAAATAAATATGCACTCCCCTAACACAACCTTTCCTCTTGTATATGTCTGCCAAAAATTTCAAGTCCTCCCCATACACTGAAATACACAGACTCGTCTTGGTTGTATGAACACACTGTTTTTTGAAATTATATAATATAAATTATAATTAAATATAATAAAATAATGGCGACAGCGATTTCGGGGCTGTTTGTTTTAAACAAAAAGGATCTTATTCTTCAACAAAAACATCTTTCTCTGTAGGGATCCTTTCCGTAATGTTGTCAAACACTCATAACAACAATCTGAGCCTGTCAGTGGCAAAAACAAGCACGTCTAGCACCAATTCCAACATTGTTTGTTCCCATTAGTCACTAAATAGGGTCCTGAAGTTACCTTTTAAAGCAAAAGTGGAGAAAACCTACAATATTTTTAAGTTGCTTTGAGCAGTTAAATGTCAAAATGCTCTATACCATGAGAAATGTTCAATATTATTCTGAGGTATTGGTAAGCACAATATCAGTCTGCCTACTGAACAGACTCTCAGCGGGAAGAAGCTTCCCACCCACCACTGTTTGAAAGCAACCACAGAGAGCCATTGTGAGCTCGAGCTGAAGCGGCTAACCCGGATGGCTCGAAAGTATGTTTTTATCCTAAAGGAGGCAATCAATCCTCATACACATATATGAAAACTACAGATGGACAGCAGGCAATTAATTCCCTCACTCGCCATGTGAGTGGATGCATTCACAACATGAGTGGGCTGGGTGTTCGTGACACACTGAGTCTGTGTTGTCTGATTAAATGCAATCAAAACAAGTCCATTGTGTTTTAATCCCTCTGAGAAAGATTACATGCATCGACAGGAGCTTGAGGGAGCAGAGAGGGATCTCTAGGATGATGGAAGTGAGACAAAAAAAAGCTCAATATACAGTGTTTAAGTAGCGTCTGGACCCAACAAAGTCCTGTCTTAAAAAAAAAAAAACTCATTATAAAGTAAAATAGTGCCTGATGAATGTGGGATGCTGTGATTCTCTCTTCGTTATTGTCGACCTCGTCTCCTTTAAATTATGTTTTCATACTGCAAATTTGTTTTCCTAATTACATTACCCAGCAAAAAGTAATTGGGAAAACAAGACGTACATGAACGTAATTTCTAGGCGACAGGGTTGTATTGTCAGAATCACATTACCTGACGTTGTCAAAGGTTTCTAAATTAAATTAAACACACACAAACATCACAAATTCTCTGAATCTGGATGACCACAGGAAAAAAGAAAGGATCCTTTAACAAACAACATTTCCCATAAGCCCAAGAGTTTGCAGGCTAAACGGCACAGCTTAACAAAAGACGCAAGTCAAGGGTGTCAGTGTAATAAGAGCAGGACAGAGAGGAGCGAAGGCTGCACAAGTTTAGGCAGCAGAGTTGAGTTTACTCATAAAACCAACTTACAGTGATGTCGCCATGCTAACGTGCTTGTAAATTTTCACAGGAGCTGTAGTTTTTTTGACTGCTTGGTGGCTGTATTGCACATATGGTGTGTGCCAGAGGTGTCTTATTTTAGCTAATTATCTAAGGCTTTACATCAGTGGTTCCCAGCTGGTGGGTTGCCATGGGTCCACTCTGAACGGACCGCGAGTGACTTGCGTACGTGTCAAATTTGTAAAAACACACTTTATTTTAAAGTAAAGTGAATTTCCAGCACATAGCTTACATTTTGAAGCGCTGCTTCCTGCTGTAGAGTGAGCGACTAACAAACAGCTACTTGACAGAGACAGCAAACTAGCTTGATGAAATGTCCGAACGCAAGTATGACACTGCTTTACATCAACCAAAGCTAGGCTAATTGTTGCGTCACGTTTGAATGTTTAAAATTACTTTTCAGCAATTCTCTTAAAGGAATACTTCACCACCAAAATGACCAATTGAATATTAGTCCTGCTGCGCTACCTTTAATTTGTCAGGGAAACGTTTTTATCGTATGCCTCCATAGAAGTTAGCGAACATATTGATTTATTGATTGATTGGGGACCACATTTAACAACAACAAAACTATATCAAAACATCCATTTACAAACTCTCGCACAACTTGCGCAGTATAATCCAGTATAATCCCAAACACATGCATTTTCATTGAACTGTAGTAGTGGAGTCTGGCTTTGAGACATCTGCTACAGTCAACAAAAAATGTGTGTCAAATGCCAATGTGTTGCACGCAAGACATTCTTAAAACAACAAAAATAATTTTTTGGCAAAGTCACCCAGTATTTAGGCTGGTTAACTGCAAGTCAAAGTCATTTCAAAGGATTAACATAGGTAAATTCTTCAAAACTAAAGTCTTACTGTATAACCCAAGTTGAGCAAACTCTTTGCTACTTGACCCATTGTTTCAGCAGGAAAAGTTTAAAAAGATGACTAACTAAAGACTAACTTTATCTCACAATTTTGATGCTATTCCAAAGCCTCTGAGCTTTAAAATGTTTTTACAATACTCACTGCAGGACCTGAAGGGAGAGATGTGTTCATGATGGCAGACAGACCCAAAACTAATTTCCTGACTGAGCACAGACCACAGGGGGTTTCTTCTGTGTGCGTGTGTGTGTGTGTGTGTGTGTGTGTCTGTGTGTGGGCTGCACTACTGTGTACATGGAGATGACCCTAACTACAACCTCTCCCCGCTGACCAGAATGGACAAGCAGAGAGAGAAGGAGAGAATGTGAGTGTGCTGGTTAATATCCGGCCGGAGTTTGTGAGGGTGTCTGTGGTTGACTGATCAGTTTACTCAACCTCTCGTGTGTGTGTGTGTGTGCGCGCGCGCGCGTGCATGTGTGCATGCGTGCGTGCGTGTGTTCGTGTGTGTGTAAAACATAAAGGCCATGAATGAAGGGTGGAGTAGACCTAAACTTTTACATTGGTTAAATTTGACCTGTTCCTTGAACTGAACCAAACTAAAGAAAACAGGTTGAACTAAATACTTGGACAAAGAATGTGTCTTAATTCCAGACTACATTCTTTTAGTCTGTAGTATGTTTACACAGGAAAAAGTATTCTCAAAAAAAAAAAAAAAAAAAAAAAGTTTGCACTTCATTTCCAGACACCCTTGATGAATGATCATTGGACACTATTATCCCACAATCCAGTGCACTGAATTGCAACTAACTCTGTAATTACATTGTGGATGGTGGTGAGCTGTGACATGTAGGAATGTCTTGGAAAAAAAATGGTAATAAATCTAAAATTTTGGTTTCTTTTGAAAGTGAAAATTGGCAGTAACATTCCAAAGTTGCTACCGTTTGATGCTGTATATTAATATTTATTATTTTAATTATTTCCTGTAAGTACAACACAGTAAAGTCTTTGTTTTCATACTCTTAACTGCAACTTTATAGACGCAGCAGAAACTCTAAAATCTTCCACTTCTATTACACAAATCTATAATCGTTGTCTAATTGTCCAATTTAAAGCTTTAAGAAGCACATCTATTGTTCCCCTAATACTATGAAACTCAATATAAACAAACTACAGCGAGGGAATCCAGTCATCAAGTCCCATCAAGTCGGCACTAAGCAATAATAAACCATGACAAAACCCAAGGCTGGGTTGGTTCACAGAGTTCCAGTCATCACCCCCCCAATCTAAGTCGGAGGAGTCCTAATTCTCACCCCAGGGTGTGTTTGGGTGGGGCCTGATGACTGTGGCAGATCGCCAAGTCAGACACACCCCGATAAGCAGGCAGGTATGAGGAGGGCGGAGCCTCGCCTGCATGTCTGTAGCTCTCTCTCTTTCTTTTTGTTGACTTTGTTCTTTTCAGGCCTTGTTTCTGTCTCTTTATAACAAATAAACACACACATGGAAGATTTTATGTAACAAGATCAAATCTACAACCCTTAGATCTACAACCCTGCCAGACGCTGCAACGATCACTGAATTGGCTATTCTTAGAGCTTTATCAGTAGTGATGCTAAAAATGTGGTTCGTCCTGAGGGTGACGGTAAAATCGAAAGGTTTCATTCTCTGGGGAGCAGGAAAGACAATGGCTAATTTCAGGGACAAGTGGCACATGTAGAAATTACTTCCTGTGGACTGAAGCTTGGAGCATAGCTAATACCCACTCTAAAGTGTAGTGTTGTATATTGATCAATTGCTACATATTGATTCTGAATATTTGAAACGGCATTTAATATTAATTTTCTGCAGTATCATTACAACGGCACCGACTGCGCTTTCTTGCGTCCTCTTATTGTTAATGTTTACTCCACAAATTCAGCTGTTCTCTGCTACTAACCAAGAAATGAGAAGTAATTTTGTCATGTTATAGCCTTGTAATACTTATATTTTGCAAAAATGTATGCCCTCAGTGTCAATTTTCCCCTGTAGTATCAAAAATGATATCAAATGTCAATATTTTTAGGCACTGTATACTCATAAGGTGTACAACAATATTCAAGGTATGTAGAATAAATACTACTCCGGTAGGGGTGAGATTACCTTTGCCGAAAACTACTTAAAGCTGCAATAATGTTAATACTTATGTTTTTTGGGTCAAATCTCAACAACAAGCTGAATATATTGGACATGTTTACACAGTACAATACATATTCCAGCCTAAAAAAGTTGTTTTGGCTTCAATGTTAGCCAGAGGAGTAAGAAAATAGGGATACATTTCACTTTCACATTATAATTGTGTTGTACTGTATCAACTCTCAAAAACACTGCCGATTTTAAATTAATAAAAGTTTACGGGCCTTTGAAACAGGCAGCTTATCAACACATTCTCACTCCGACCTCGTCACATATCGACGTTTGGTCATGGACTTTCCACATCAAGATACGATGTGTAAGGTACCCTGGGTGCGTTGGTTGTTGATGTTCTTGGATGCCGTGTCAAGTTCTCCTTGTTTCATGCATTGTCTGTTTTCAAAATACACTTCTGTTTTCACAGGAAATTTGCAGTTTGCATACAGTCTCTTTCAAAATAAATGCATGTCGGTACAACACCGCAAATTGGCTTAGAAATACACATGGATGGGTTTGGGCAACAAAAGCACTGGTTGGGTTAGGAACAAAGAACAGAGTTTGGCTTTATAGTCTTACTGAAGGCAAACACCTGCCTTCCGGGTAAAAGTCAGTGGTTGTTGGTCCGGCCCACCCTACCGGGACTTCTGCCACCTTAACTTTCTTGTTGTCCAGCTGCTAGCACTGCAATTGCAATATATCGCCATGCTTACACTATAGGAATATATCCCATTATATGTTACTGTAACCCCTGTATTATGATACGTATGGTAAGATTCTTGCCAGTACACAGATCTAATGTTAGCGAGCAGCTGTGTACTTCCAAATCCAGCAAAGACAGAGCAACATTATCTTTCCATTTAGAGTTGTATTTGTGTCCACATAATAATTGCTAGTCTGTAAGCTTATTTTGGTCTTATTTTGGTCTCCCGAAAAATATCTGTCTCTTTAGCTGCTAAATTAACTACTTTCTTCACAGTGAAAAAGCAGCAAATGTGGAGTCCAAACTAAATATTTCAGGACAAATACAGCTGATCAATCTGCAGGGCAGTGCTACTCATGAAAGTGAGACTCATTTTATATCATTTACCATAAAACTCTCTGAGGAAAGAGCCTTACAGTAAACTCCTCTCGTGTTTAATCATAGATCTTCTTCAGTAAAAGTAAAATCACACTGATAAGAAAGTCACTGTTCCCCCCTGAAAGACTCTGGCAGCGGCTCAGATGAGCGTCCCATTCTTTTCAGATGAGACACTGCTGACTCTCCCTGTTTGAACAAATAACACTATGCAGTCAGGTGAGGCAGCTTTTCCACCGGCAGGAAGTTATGACTCACTCGATCATCTTTGTCATTTACACAGTCTGTCTTCAGACTGTATATCCATCCTACTTGTGTGCAGACTTGGCTGTTTTGTCAAAGTTTTTTTTTCTTTTTTGTTTGGTAAATGGACTAAATCCACAGTACATAGCGCTTTTGTAGTTTTAGCGACCAGTCAAAGTGCTTTACCTTTTCATAAAGTAGAGGCTACTTTACAAGGTGCTCATCAGATACCCACTCACTCAATTGGGGATCAGTATTTTGCACAAGGACACTTCAACATGTAGACTGCAGAGATCAAACTTCTGACCTTCTTCATGTTTTATTCATTTATACCATTTTATCGACATGCCCATCAGGTATGGATGGACAGTTAATTCCTATATATAATCTCAGTATATAAAATTAAACAATGGTAAATCCAAAAAAATCCAATCTATCATGGATGTTTGACTCCGTTTCTAAAATTCTAAATACATCAGAAAGCTTCGTATTGTTTCCAACATGTTCAGTCCTTATCATCCGTCCGTCTTATCAGAGGACATGCAATGTCATGATAAGGACACAAGTCATTACTCAGCAAACAGATCTGCGTGTGTTGAAGTTCATCAGGGAACTCCTACCCAGCATGCCTTGCTCATGACTCACAGCTGCGGTATGTCACCTTGTTTGCTGGTGCACTTTGATCCAGCAGCAGCTTTAAATTGGGGAGTGAACAGCAGGAGACGCCCTGCAGGCTCATTAACTGACCAGGAATGTTTCATCACAGTGGAGACAACTTTTTACTACAGCTCTGACTTTGCTGATATGTCGGAAATCACGTGAATATACACAAATGTCACATGAGATGCATTTCATATATATAAAAAAAGTCCAACATGAAATACAATGACTTTAAACTCAATGATTTTAAACTTTGCCAAAGCTTAAACCTATTAATGATGCAGTTTTTTTGTTACTGTGGGGAGCCACAACAATGAACCTTTTTTTAGCAGTACGTTATCTAGCACTACAACAATGCATGTATTCACATTTTTTCTTCTTGCCTTTGTCTTTACCAAAAGGAAATACACAAGGGAGATATGTGAGTGACTGTTTGCCATTTGTGAATTCAAAGAATCTTTGCCCGTGGCTTGTTAAACCCTTAAGGACTTTTCAAGGAAATTTCATGCAAAGGTGACAAGTAAAGCCTGTTCCTTGCTTTGTTTTGCAAATATCTAAAATAAAATTTTGAATGACAGGTTTTGTGACTACTTCTTTTTGTTGCACCCAAAATATTAAAAGCAAGATCAAATAAAATAATGATCAGTTTACTGTAGCATCTCTGTTAATCGCTTATTTCCAGGATAAACCCTTAATATGGGCATTCATGTGCTGCTGTAACAACCTGTAACAGGTTTTAGACTTCCCACCAGATGTTTGAACCTGGCTGCAGGGATTTGCTCCCATTCAGAAATAAAAGCTTTAGTAAGGTCCGACACATGTTGGGTGATAAGGTCTGGCTCGCAGTGGGTGTTCCAGTCCATCCCAAAGGTGTTGGATGAGTTAAAGAGAGGCGGTTGAGGTCAAGACAGTCAAGTTGTTCCACACCAAATGGGGAAATCATTTCTTCATAGACCTGGCTTTGTGCATGGGGGGTTTGCCATGTTGAAACAGGAAAGGGTCAAACACAAACTGTTGCCATAAAGTTGGAAGCACACTGTTGTCTAAAATATCAC